TCACGACCCTGCTCGTGGTCACTGTGTGCTGCCAACCCTGGCGAGGGAAAGTGGCTTCAGTTCTTCCTAGTGAGGCAAAAATGGGACCCAGCAAGGCAGCCTCTGTCACACCCGTGTCCCCAAACCCCATAGCTCCTGAGGGAGCAAGAGGCTGCCCTCAGCCTCCATCATGTCATGTGCTGGCTGACTGAGCCACCAGCTCTCGGGCTGCTATACGGGGCACCACTATGCTCAAAATCACTACAAAAATGGTTCTTTGAAAGGACCTGAGGCTCTGCCTCGGCAGTACAGCACGAGATCATCACGGTGATTTTGCTCACCACATCCCCTTAGGACCTTGTGGAGACACAGGTCATCATACCATTTTAAATGCCTCTCATTTCGTGTTGTGGGGGTTACGTGTTTTTTGTTAGGTTTGGGGTTATTTTAAACCATTTTCTCATGCAGAAAATCCTGTGTTGACAACCAGCGAAGCGAGGAGTGCAAAATCCCTAGGCTCCTGTTTCCTCCAAGATTGGAAATTGCCTACATAAAAAAACAATTAAAAATAATTTTGAACATTAAGAAAATAATAAAGAGAAATGAGTTGGTTTATTTCCCCCCACCCCTTGCTGGGAGCAATGTGAGACAGCAGCAGTGAGATAGGGTTGGGGAGGTGAAGGGCTGTTCTCAGCTGTGTGGCTGTGACAGTCTTCAGAGCATTTATGGAAGTTTTTATTTATTAGCATCATCTTTAGTGCGTCTGGGGTAGGAGCCTGTACCCAAGGCTCCAGCTCGTGTGTTGGGCAGAGTTGAATCTAAATGGTGTCCATACCTGAGAGCAGAGGCTGAGAAGAGTGATGGCTGGGTGAGATGGAGCCCAAATCTTTCCTAGTCCCAAACCCACAAAAAAAAAAAATCATCAAAAAATAACAATTGGAAATTAATATTCGACTACAGGGTGGCAGATAAGTAAAGTGAATCAATCTGTGGCAGGACAGATAAGCGCAAGCCTCTGGCCCAGAGGAGCAGCTGCCTGCTGAGGGAGATAACAAGGTCATTGCCAAACAAAACAGACCCCAGCTTCCTCCTCCTTGCTCGCTGGTCTCCTTTCATTCATGCTCCCAGCCAGGCAAAGCGCTTGACAAAAGGAGATAGAGTGGGAGCGAGGCAGGGAGATAAGGCAGCTGCAGCCAGAGCATCCCTCCCGGCTGCCTTTTGGGAAGGGTACGCTCATTAATACCAATTTAATTCATCCCGGGAGCTGCCTGGGCTGAGTCCAGGGGAGCCAGGTGGATTTGGGCTTGCTTGGCCCTCCATAACCCATCATCTGCCATCCCGCGTTGCCCCGCTCCCCGCTGTGCCCGTCAGAGGGGCTGGCATCGGGACTTTGCCGGGCTCTGCCGTGCCGGCGGGGACAGGCTGCTGCACATCGGGTGTCCTGATCCCCCTCCACCACAGGACAGGCTTTGGCTGGGATCCCCTTCTCCTGGCTTGGCAGCAGCTCTCCCTGTGCTGATCTCTGGTTGGCAGCAGAGATGATCCCCCCTCTTTGCCAAAGACAATTTTCAACTGTTTCTAAAGACCTTTTATTTTGCATTCATTTCCCTTTAGCCCTTGGAAGAAGTAGAGCTTTTTCTCCCAAGTGCTTTTGGAGATAGCCAGCTGCAGTGAGGGCTCTGCAGCCAAGCCCAGGACCCCAAAACCTCCGTCCTGTGCCAGGGCACCACATCCAGCCACGACAACAACCCACCCAATGCTCCCACTGCCCCCAGCTCCTGACATCAGGGCTTCACCCCATCTCCACACCCTACAAATGCCTCCAGGAAAGCAAAGACCTGAATATCTGACGCAGGAGGAAGAAGAAGGGTGGTTTTATTTTCTTCTGCTGTCCTGCAGCGCTCAGCTCTGCGGGCACGGGGCTGCAATGCCCGGCTTGCTTGTTTGTGTGTTTTATTCAGGATGAATCTCGGCGCCGCGGGGCGCTGAGCCCGGCATTAATAAACCTGACAGCTCCTCGCCGGGTGTAATGGCAGCGGGTTCGATAACGCAGGTATTGCTCCAATGGGCTCGGGGCAAAACCGTCTCTCTTGATGGCTGAGACCTCACAACGGGGAGTGATGATGTGCAGCTGCCAGCCTGCAGCACACCTATGACCCTGGAGCGGGCATGGCACAGGCGTCACCCTGCCTTTACCCGCAGCAAAGCAGCTAAAACCCTCCCCGAGTTCTCCA